AGTGTTGTGTATTTTCGCTGCCCTCTGGGCTTACCTCGTTTTCTCATAGTTATACTCCCAGGAAGCAGCATCTCTTCTGCATTATCTTTCCCGCCGTCTGTTCGTTGTTGACGTGTTGTATAACTTAAATGGCTAGCGGTTATACTAATACTGTGTCAGGAACTATACTCCATCAAATTGTACTAGTCTTCGGACTGTATATGAATGTTTATTAGTATGATATATGTGAAATACAACATGATTATGGGAGATACTGTATACCTGTTTTGTAAAGAAAAAAATCAATAGAATATTATGTACAAAGCAACTAATATGCTCAAAGAAGCAGTTTTGATTGAATCATAGAGTTGAGCAGTATTGTTTTTTGCTGGTGCTCGCGTCGTTCACTTTCGAGAGCGGCTTCCAAACGCTCAACAACGCGTTGCATTTCTTCCAATTTTGCGGATAAGACTTTCACTTCGTCGACTTTATGTCGCATTTGAGCTCTGGAAAAATTGTTGAATTGATTTCGATAGAAATTCTGAGAAATTCCACTAACGTACCGATATTGTCTAGCGTAAAGACGACGATGACGTCGTTTTTGACTTGTTGGATCATCATCGTCGCTAATGTCTTGTTGTGGTCGTCCACGACGAATTCTGGATGTTGTGCTACTGCTTTCAGCTGAGGAGACCCGCTAGAATTAATTGAGGTGAGAGTACTATACTTTAATGTACACGATTTATTGTTTTCTGGTTTCTCATTCCACTTTTTTCAACGCTTAGAATGTCTTAAAATTTTGATAAGATTATGTTTTCTGCTTCTTATGTCCCAGTTGGCGTCTTCATACGCTCAGAGGGTTTTTACTTTCCTTATACGTTTTTGATAGCGCCCCATTGACGAATTTCTCGATATTATCAGCGCAGTTACAAAGTACATCAGTGTGATTTTGGACTCTTTAGCGTCACGGAAGCGTTAATCAAGATAAAACATACCACAGGAGAGGGGTTCCTGGGCGAAGACATGCCAGATTCTGTAGTCTGGGAGCATTCGC